TGAACTGCATCCCAGTCATCACTAATACTGCAGAAGATCTACTGGAATCAGCTTGGACCCAAGAGTCTCACACAAATCAGTCAAGTTTGGTGAAGGAAAAATTATGGTTTGGGGTTACATTCAGTATGGGGGCGTGCGAGAGATCTGCAGAATGGACGGCAACATCAACAGCCTGAGGTATCAAGATATTTGTGCTGCCCATTACATTACAAACCACAGGAGAGGGCAAATTGTTCAGCAGGATAGCGCTCCTTCTCATACTTCAGCCTCCACATCAAAGTTCCTGAAAGCAAAGAAGGTCAAGGGGCTCCAGTATTGGCCAGCCAAGTCACCAGACATGAACATTATTGAGCATGTCTGGGGTAAGATGAAGGAGGAGGCATTGAAGATGAATCCAATGAATCTTGATGAACTCTGGAAGTCCTGCAGCTTTCTTTGCCATTCCAGATGAGTTTATTAATCAGTGATTTGAGTCATTGCAGAGATGTATGGATGCAGTCCTACAAGCTCATGATGGAGTCAGACACAATATTCATTCTGTTTCCTCTGCAGCATGACTTTATTTTCTATACTGGACATTATTTCTGTTCAGTGACACAACTTTTGTTTCAGCAAAGTCAGACTTTACTGTCCTAATTAAATCATTAATAAGCAAGGCATGATCATATTTTATTGTGGTCAAATAGGCGTAATCTAGAGGCCTTTACCTTTCATATAAGACACTTCTGATACCAAATGATCAACTAGAAGTCAAGATATTATTTGTTGTTTCTAAAACTTGGATAGGCGACAAGACTTTTGCTATTATTTAAAAAAATCACAGTTGATCAGCAAGATAAAAACGTGATTAGAACATGTAAATAGATGTATGTAAATAATAAATAATTTATGCTAATAGGTAGTTTAATAATGTAACAAATATTTTGCATATATTTAAGTATTTTTTTCAGTAATTAACTTTTTTATTTGTGTGTATTTTACATTTCTAATATAAATTTTCTTTATGCAAAAAATAAAACAAAACAAATAAATACATATTTGTTTAGGACATTCCCATTGTATGATAGGAATCTCTTCCACGAAAATATTTGGCATTTTTTGGGCGTATGTGCCATGATTATAATACTGCTGTTGTAAAAACCCCTGGATAGATCGTTGTCAGGTTTTTTGTTTTTATTCTGATGATAAATTGACGTTCACTGTAATTGTTTTGGTGGTGAAATTGCGCCCTCGTGTGGATCATAAATGAGCTTACACTAAAATTACACCAGTGCAATTATTTTGTTATATAAAAAACAAATAATCATATTTTAAGACCAGGAAATAACTGAGATACGACAATATATTTATTTCCTAAACTGAATATAATATCTGGTGAGAAAATATATAGAATATTTCTGAAATAGGAAACAGATGCTTGTCTGTCCAGTTTTGTTTTAACTTGTAAATCTAAAGAGTCACCAAAACTATTTTGTTCTCATTCTGAAATGCGTATAAACAGCATATATTACACAATAGCTTATCTAAAAATTAGTTTTCAGATTTTTAAATTGTATTTGATATTAAAATCCCATATTAGTCTGCAGTGAGGTCTGATGTAACAGGTGTTTGTTAAAATTACAATCTAATGTTTAGATGTTTAATAAATCCATACATTTAAAGTTTATGTTGTTCAAAAGCACACAACACAATAATTGGATTTTAAAACACGACTATATCAGTCATCAGGATTAAACAAAAATAATGAAATAAATAATTAAATTAAATTAAATCGCTGTAAACTGATTTTTTTTGTAATATATACATATATTTTAAAGATAAAAATTCTCCCATGATCAATCATAAGAAAGAAAGCAAGAGAGAGTATTGTTCTGTATTTATTAAAAATTATAATTGTGTTTTTTTCTGTAAATGTATTGTATAATCACTTTACAATATTGTTTGTTATTTAGGCTATATAATCTAAAATGTTTTGACAAAAAAATTAATAAAAACAAAAAAAAAGTAATGCCAATAAAGCTCTTTTAAATTTAATTGAATTGAGAGAGAGTGAGTTTATATCAGATTGTGTCTTTGTAGCAGCACAATACATTAATTCCCGTCGCATAAAGAGAGGAGACCAACAAAAACATCAGTGATGCGCTTGCAAACACTCACACACGCACCTAGATTATTATAAATTGTATTTTTATTTATTATTGCTGTTTAATCCATAAATGCTGGATTTTAAATGTACAGTTTGTTCTGATTTATTTTTTATTTGTATTTATATTTTATTATTATTATTATACAATTTATTATATTATATATATATATTATATATTATATTTATATATATTATATATATTATTATATTATATATATTCCGCTGTGGTGACCCCAGATTAATAAAGGGACTAAGCCAACAAGAAAATGAATGAATGAATGATATATTGAATTATAATATGATATATTAAATAATATGATATTTATATTTTTTATTATTTACAGTGTCTTTTTT